AGCACTGGGTCCAGCCAGCATCTGGAATGAGAGACCCCTAAGGAAGTCCTAAGATTCTAAAGGAAGTGATATTGGTGATTCAATACAGAATATTCTTCCCAAGTCAGAAGAGCTAAGGGTTGGAGCACAGTGCTTCTAAAAGCCTTATCTTTCTGCTATGCAGGTGCAGGAATGCTATGGCTACATTTCAACCCAAATTTTAAATCAGAACTTGTCACCCCATACTATTTAAATTTCTAGAGCAACTGGAAGGGCTATTCTTTCTTCACTTCCTGTGTTTATAGTTCGGGACCCAGTCAAAACATATTATATTTTACCCTAAGTGAATTCAGATGTAAGACTACAAATGTCTTATTATATACCCAGTGCTTTAGAAGGGCATATAATAATCATTTTCTGATGCACTTCTATGTTTTCCACGTAAAGATACTAGGAATCAATGTCACTTATGTGTGAGTCCAAATGCTGGGCTATATCTCTAATTGGTTCTTGTAGAATCGTTAAATCAATCTCTTGACAACAAACCAAGTATTTGAAGCCTTCTTTGTGGTCAGCATCAGGGCTAGCAAGGATTGAGTTTTGATTATCCTTAATATCCTGTTCAGTAACAATGCCAACACTACTATCGGAGTTTTTACAAACTAAATCTTTGTTTACTATTTCCTCAAATATGGCATCCCTCTGATTTATGTCCAAAGGGCCCTTGCTGATGCCATATTCAAGGAGAGTTCTTTGGCTGAAAATTACACTGATTGATTTGTAGGAGTCTGACCCACGGACATGCCGTACCAGCACACCGTCTGGGCTCATCAAATTTCCGCCTTTGGTTAATGCTACTGTCCCTGAGCACATCCATTCAGACCATATGGTTCTTATTCAATCCTTGAATGGCTTATTCAGGCAAACATCCAATGGCTGTAATAGCGATGTCAGACCCCCCAGGACTCACGCAAAGATCAGTTTTTAATTTTTTGGCCATATTTCTTACTCCATCTGCTAAATGTGCATGGAACAGTTCCCATACTTACATGGAACATTTGTGGAACTGCGCCCCTGGGCAGGGATCCCATATCTTTTGCAGCCAGAGTTTGACGAGATCATCGTAGATCCAGTCCTCTGGATATGCCTATGCTATCATTCGAGCAGTATTTCTCCCTTTTCTTTCTTCTTTTTTTAAAAAGATTTATTCAGAAAACTACGAGCAGCTTTGATTTTATCCTGCTGGCTAGACAGGATATAGGTTCTTCTCTTGTTATTTCTGATGAGAGTGGTTTTGAAACTCAGAAAGCTAAGATCAGAGGTCGTGGGTATTCCATTCATGTTTCTGGGACACACAAACTCATGCTTATCCTATCTGATACTCATTACTGGCAGTTGAGACAGTCTGGCAAAGAATTTCCTGCCCACCATCATCTAAAGTTGGCAAATAATAATGAAAAATAATGATGATGCTCTAGTAACTCGTAACTAGCACCTTCCCTCTGAGGAAGTACATAAAAAGCTCACTGAGATAATCTCATTCCGTTCTCACAATATCTCTGAAATATATAGAAATACATTTTCTCTCATTTTAAAGTGGAAATCCATTATTTAAGAATTGTCATACCATCATATGTTCTTATTTAAATTTTCTATCCACACTGCATTGTTGTTGCTTAAATGACAAATCCATTTAGTATTAAAGGGTAGCATTTAGTATTAAAGGGTAGAATATATTGTCACCACCTCTCTCAGGCTTAGTAACCCACCTTACTCCAGTGACAATGAAAAACTGCTTTTTCTCTGCTAGTTTTCTCATCTTAAGCTAAAAAAAAATCAGAGGCAGTATAAAGGTGCAAAGATTTCAACTCTGGAATCAGAAAAGCCTAGGCTGGAATCTCAGATCTGCCATTACTATATTTTTACAAAAATAATGTACTCCTGAGTTTGTTTGCTGGCCGCCCCCACCCCACACAAGGTATTTTTGTAAGCACGCTATGCTAATTTTTTTACAGCAACATGTGGAAGGGAACTGGCATGGCAGCGCTTGGGAGGGTGCCTCATGGGTGTGGGGAAGGGCATGGTCGGCAAACAAACGCAGAAGGTGCGCATTATTGGTGTAAAAATCTGGTATATTACTGTGTAATCTTGGGCTGTTAGGTCTTACCTCAGCTGTCAAATGGAGTTAATAACAGTACCTACCACACAGGATTTTTGTTAAAAGTAAACAGAACAGTGATTGTAAAGTGTCTATCAATATACGCCCGACACACAGTAAGTACTTTTAAAATACTCATTATCATCGTCATCACAGTTACTAGAAATGCCAACTATTTTTAGATGGCAAGTATACAGACTGACCAAAGTTGAGCAGACTAATTGAAAATTCCATTTTAATTTTGTCACTAGCTGTTTGCACGGCTGTTTTGATTTGAGTCAAAATTTCCAAATAGATACAGCCTTAAGGGGAAAATCTACATTTGGCAACAGTAAACGTGCTTCTCACTTAAGGGAAAAAAATAATTGAAACCAAAGAAAATAATATTTATACAGGAGATAATATGATAAATACAGTTAGTAAAAAGTAAATTTGAAAGTGTTCAGCTCACATGTCTAGTTCTTTGTAATTTTTTTCCCTTAAAAATGCAGATTGATTCAGTTCTTTGAAAGCCTCTTCATAAATTCAAAGATAATGATAGAGATATTTTGAAGGTCTTCTATCACTCTGTCCTTTTCCTTTCTAGGAGTCTACATATGTATTTGTTTTTTCATTATTTGTTCATTCATTCATTCATTTTAAGATTTGTTAGTGCCATTCAGAAATCTCTACATATCTTCCATGTCTCTAGAAGAATGGCTTAGGTTTGTTTTGTAGATTAATTTTAGATAGTGACATACAATATATGGACTTTATTATACTACACTATGTTGTAAATATAAACAACCCTCTGGCACATAAACTTTACTACACTTCCAAGGTTCTTAAATAGTTTTTCACAGAGCCCAAGTTGTTCTGTGGAGGTAAGTCAACAGCTGGCAAGTGTCCAAGAAAAGGGTAAGGGGCAGGCAAGAGGTTACTTTAACCAGAGCATTTCCATTTTTGTCAAATGTGTACATGGGATTCTGTAGCTTTCATTTGAAGAAATAGTTTTAGGAATAAAAAAGTTGACAACAGTTAATCTAGATTAGGAATGTGAATTTTTAGGAATCAAATATAATTTTGCCCTATCTTGCTCACTTTTCATTCTCTCTGCTTATCCTGATTTATGCTTAGAAGAAATTTTATTTCCCCTCCACCAGCTATTTGCTTATGTAAATTTAAATTCAATATTCTTAGCTTAATATTATTTGATAATATTTTCTAATTATCCCTCAAATTTTTCTATATTTTCCAAGAAATATGTCATCTCTATCACATATATGCACATAGGTGTAAGATATGGCATTTGAGGGCTCTGCTTTTAAGGACAAATGATAAGATATTAAATGTGTTTACCATAAAAATGATCAGTAGGGTTAAACTATGCATTCTGAGATAGCCACTACTAGTGGTTTACCTACTTGGAGTGATTGCATGACTTATAGAATGCTTCCAGAAGAATTCTGTAGTGTTTAAAAGAATTAATTTTTTATTCTTTTTGATACAAAATAAAGTAGAATAAAAAGATCTCTCAGGCCTTGTGATAGTCTTATTTCTAGAAACTGTGGCCCATGGACTAGATCAACTAGAATAATAATCAATCAATGACAAATAGAAGAACAGATCTGCACTATGACTTTCCCCCCTTACAGTTGTGTATTCTTCTGAGTCCAGATTGATGTAAATCGCTACTTGTTGCTGACAAGAGTTCTTGGTTCCAAAATAAACCTAGACTGTTGTTTCAAGAATGTGGTTCTTAATATTTTCTACTACTTCGGTGGAAAAAAAAGAAGGAATTTTTGGTAGTGTGTGAAGGTCTTTATATTTTTATTGGCTACTTACAACATATAAAAAAAGATCTTTAATCCTTTAAAAATGACCCTATAAATTCATGTATTTAGCATAATTTACCAACATTTCCAAACTCAGCATGGTAAAGCCATCAACATGGCACTAGGTCATGGGTCCTGAATGAAGCCGTCAGCAAGGATTAATAAACTGTGACAGCTGCCCAAAAGCTTTCATTCTTTTTATTTAAACATCAGATTGCAAGCTGAAATTCAGTGTAATCTTTGTTGAAACCAGCCTAGCTAACATGGAAGAAGTCAGAACTGAGAACAGATGACAGTAGCAGTTACTATTGTAAATTCAGTCCACAGCAATAAATTCTAGAGTTTACATATATAGCAATTCCTAGAGAATTTTGGGAATAGCATACAATTATTCCTATGTGTCTGAGCAATTCTTAATAATATTTTTTGAAAATTAAAACAATGAAACTAAAATTAATTCCAACTTCTATGCTCAATAAACTGTTTTATTATTCTTGTACTACTAATGCCTCAATAGTAGAACAAATCAATGATCATGAAGGTGATGCATGACTGGTCTACATTTTATTCTGTTATACGTAAGGTCACCATGAGTCAGAGCTGACTCAATGGCAACTAACAACAACATTAGTCCCTGCCCCCGTATTGCAATTTAAAAGTGACTCTACTTAAACTATATTTATAAAGTCTATTTTTGGGTCACATAATTTTCCTTGGAATTGTTTATCAGCAAAAAATGAAACTATATTATATGACTAAACACTATGTTATATGACCGTTGTGGATTTTTTGGTACAAATATAGCTCATATATATGCTTACGGAGAGGTGAAACTAACCCAGAAAACAGTTATTTACTGTAATTTCACTGTAAAACAAACGTATTTTTACAGATATCACAATATGACAACCTCTTAGGGCTAGAAATTTTTTAGTTTTTCAAGTACATTTTAAATTAATATACACTATTTCCTAGAGGTTGAATATTAGCACCAAAAATTAACCAGTTTAGTCTATATTTCAAACAGCTAGTAAATCATTTGTGCTTACCCCCTTTTCAATATTCCCAGTTTGACACAGTGTCCCCTCAGCTGCTGGAATACTGTTAGTGACACAGCGGTTGCTCTTGCTGAGGCACCAGAGCTCTCTACACACTTCCTAGGAAAGAAGGCAAAAGCAAGTTGATCAGAAGTGGAGACCAAAATCACATCCAGTCCTTCCATAAAATATACCCACCATCACTCAAAATCCCTTTAAAAAGAGACCACAGGTAGTATTTCCTGACCTCATGCTGCTGTTGAAACAGCAGAGATGATGTTGGAGGAAGGTCTTATAAACGTGGGTTACACATTTCACAGAAGTATTTGAACATTTGTCATGGTATTCTTATTTTATGGATAAAATATATCTTACCTTTGAATATTACTTAGGACCTTTTTTAAAAATTGTGTGCAGAAATTTCATTAATATAGAAGAGTAGGGAGAAAATCAGAATTAATATGTAGAAAAGAAATATATATTTATTACTTTCAGAAATGTACAACAGCATAAACTTATCAATTACTAACAGAGTTATCAGGTAGATGACTTCCTAGGCTTACTATAATATCCAAATAAAGATTATTTTAAAATAGTAATAAAGAAGTCATGTTAATGGACAGGAATTTAACACATGAATTTAAAAAATTGAAACATATTTCAAATAATATCTAAAGCTCATATATGCCTAAGAATAATCTAGCAATGTTATTTGCAGTCCACCAATGTAGTCCACATCTATGAAAGAAAAATTTGGGTTTGAACAAATGCAATCATTTGTGTGTCATTTCCCTAACTGATATGCTTCAAATGTTGTTTGTAGCTTTCTTTTCTTATGATTTCTAATTATCTGACCTCAGCATAGGAGAATTACAACACTTATTCTAATACTAGCAATATAAAATACTTCATTTTGTTCATACTGTATTAATCTATCACATTCTAAAATAAGCTGTTCAACATATTCCTGAGTAAAGTGTTTCAACTAACAGATAGCCAAAAAAAAAGCTTACTTCTAAGGAAAATTCTTAAAATTTTCAGAGTTTTTCTTTTTATATCTTACTATCAAACAACATCATTACTAATGTTACAATTTTTTAATTTAAATTAGAACTATTTAGTATAGAATGTATATTGCCAATAATAATATAATAATCTGGTAATGCAAAGATAAATATAACAACAATTCATTAAAATCTGCCGCTTTTATTGCCCAGCTGATTTTTTAAATCCCAAAACACAATTATAAGAACTCATGTCACATAAACACAATTTAGAAACATATTGAAGCCAATCGTTAACCATTCCTACAAATAGAAATGCCCCACAGAGCACTGAGGAGATTTCTTTGGGCTCCTCTTTAGGGTGCCCTCACCAAGCCAAGAAGGAGACATGTAATTTCTATTAGGCTTTTAAAAGACTTAAAAAAAAATTTAGACTCTATTTGGAGAACTACTGAGGTAGAAGAGAGTTAAAAGGTTAGAAATAAAAATGACAGGTACTGTGTTATAGCATAAAGATAAAACTTACCTGTTCTTATAATCCAATTTATTACAAAATCTACGTTCTTTCATTGCTTTAGTTTCTTTTTTAAGAAGTTATTTATACTACTTTATTATTTTTCTATATGAGACGGTTTCTTAGTATATGGTCCTAAATATATACTTTTAGCTTAATATTAAATAGTAGCAGGCCTAACATTTTAGGACCTTAAAATATTGTCCCATGTATCAAAAATGCATCCACAGTTACAGAAAAAATGTGTTCAAAAAAACACTAAAACATTGCTAGAACAATGTATAGAAGTTATAAAAAAATTTATCCAAAGCCCTGGACCATACTCCTGATTTATTAAGAATCTTAAAACTTAAAACAAAACAAAACAAAAAAGAATCTTAAGTCTAAAGCTTACTTTAGACAGAAGTAAAAGAAGTCTAAAGTTTACTTTAGACCAAAGTATACAATACAAATCCTACTATTAAAAATGACAATATTCATACCATGTCTCATAAAAATATACTATTTAGTCAGGTTACAGAAACTTTGTTTTCCAAAAGTGCCTTGAAAATCTATTCAAAATGCAAGTATTCAAGATACTTTTTTTCAAAATCTTGATCTCAAGATTCACAATAGAACTCTCTGGTAGAGTTCTCTTACCCTTTAGAGGATGATGCATTTTGAAAGGTAGATTCCCACTTTTAACAGGATTTCGTTACCCTAATGGACCCCTGGGGATTCAAATTTGCTAGGGCATTAACTTTTCATAGATCACAGTCTAAAGCATGAGGCTGGAAATCTATGTATGGGAATCACTCCCTAGATGTTAAACTAGCCAAAGATAAGATTCTCGAGAGTTTTCAATTAGAATCTCCACTTGGATAAGAAAGATTTCAATATCCCAATTAGGAAGATTTTTCAAGGTATAAAAAGGATACTCTCTTGAAAAAGAAAATTTCATTTCATACCAAGTAAGCAAGAGGGACACTTCCCGAAAGAACTTGAGAACAAATTCCCTTTCAGAAATACCCTTCTTCCCCTAAATAGCTGAATTCTACAACATGGACAGTATATTTGCATAGGTATATCAGTTTCATTTGCACATATATATCAGTTTCTGAATAAGCACTTTGCACCCTAAGGTAGGTCATAGCCACTAAAAAAGTCAAATGCATACCAAAATTTTTTGCCTCTTGGGCGATTTGTATAGTAACCATCATAGTAGATGGATGAATTTTCCTAAATAAAATATATGAGACATAGTTAATGAGAAGGAATAATGATTTTTTGACTAGCCATCAGCTTAATTCTAAAAGAACACAGTTCTCTTTCAGATACTCATGATTACTGTTGACAGCAGTTAAGATTTATTAAGATTAGTTTCATGACCTCTATGAACTAATCATTGTCTGCATGTTTGGGTCCCCTCTATAACCCTAAAATTCATTTTGGGGAAGCATCTAGGGGAAATTTGGGTCTTTGTACTTGCCCTTGAGTTTAAAGAAGGAGAAAGAAGATATCAACAGTCCCCACTAAGGGACATTTCTGTTACATGACAATGAAAAGTTGAAATGGGATCTCTAATTTCACGGTACCAACTTCTAACCAATTAGGAGGACTGCCTGGTAAAGCAAAGGTGATAGAAATGTTTTCCATTCACTCAAGAATATTTATTGAGCACTTACTATGTGCCAGGTATATGTTAGTGTTATGAAAAAAATAACACTGTCACTCAGCATTCATGTCAGGGAGGAGAAGATAGTGTATAAACAGACATACAGCCCAAATGCCATGGATTGTTACAAGTCTATGATTAAGTTCTTAATATTCTGTGATAAAATTAGTAGTCTTTTTTTTTTTTCCTTGAGACTAAAACTATTTATTTTAATGGACTATCTTACCAAAACCAAACTCGTTGCCACCGAGTCAATTCCGACTCATAGTGACCCTAAAGGACAGAGTCAAACTGCCCCCATAGGGTTTCCAATGCTGCATCTTTACGGGAGCAGACTGCCACATCTTTCTCCCGTGGAGCTGCTAGTGGGTTTGAACCGTCGCCCTTTCAGTTAGCAGCCAAGCACTTAACCACTGCACCACCAGGGTGCCTTATGGACTATCTTAATTAAATTTTATTCTTTTTACATTTGAGGAGTTAAAATGTCTTTTATTTTATGAAATGATAAGAACAGTAGACTGCAAGATTCCTGAAGGCAGTATCTGTGTGCTTATGCCAGTTTTTAAAATGTGTTCTTACCTGGAAAAACAAAAAGTTGTGATCCTTATGTTGCTCCCCAAAATTGGAGGGAAATTTCCTTTCCCACACAAATCTAAAAGTTTGTGAACCACTGACTCGCTAAGACTTGAGAGTCAATGTTTAGAGAATGGAGTGTGTCTATGTGTTTAAAAATGCCTTTAATACCAACTGCTTCTTATATCCCACCCCTATTTTCTGGGTTCACTTTCTTTCTTCGTAACATACATATTTTTGTAGTTAATTTAGAAAGGGACTTTTTCTTATTTTTCTGAAAATAAACTGATTGCCCCCTCATTTTGAATTATATTTGAGTTGAACATAGAATTGTATGCTGACATGTATTATTCTATGCTGACCTCAGCATTTTGAAGGTATTAAGCCCACTGCCATCTGGCCTCTATGGAGGCTGATGAAAAGTAACTTGCCAGTCTAATTGCTCTTCCTTTGTGGTTAAACCTTTCCAGTTGCTTTCAAGAGTTTCTCTTTGTCTTTGCTTTAGTGCAGTTTTACCAGGTGTTCATTTTATTTATCTACTTGGAATTCATGCTCTAAGGATTCATGGCTTTCTTTGATTCTGAAAAATTATTAGTTATTATCTTTTAAAATATATCTCTTCTCCATTCTTTCTATTATTTCTTTCTAGAACTCTTATTCAACTTACATTGGACATTCTCATTCTAACTACCACATCTTTTACTCTCTCTTTCTTATTTTCCATATATGAGGCATCTGTCTAGAGCTTTAATTTCTCATGGAAGCCATTCCTCCTTATCTAGAGCAAAGGGCAGGTAACATTCCTTGCCCATTTAATTCTTTTTTCTAAGTTGAGATGGTCCTTCTAGTGTTATGACTTTACGAAGGAGTCTCAGTTCCAGTTCTTTATCTCATGGCCCAAGGCAATGTCTTCTATCCCAACATGGTCAACATCAGCTCACCATCTTGTCACTCTGACTAAAATCTCTCTTTATTTCTGGTATATCCCCCAATCTCTTCACCCTCCTTGGGTCTCATATGTACTGGTTCTCTGTTACAAGGTGATGAATGCATTCCCAAAAAAACTCTGCATTGCACAAAATAACTTATTAAAAAAGTGTTTATGGGAAAAAATAGGATTGTACTAGACCACTCAAAACCTATGTAACTTTGTAAAAAGAAAACAAAAATGTTAACAGTATTAATTAAAACATTTGTAAAGTTAAATTTCTGCTGGCATTTATTCCCAGCATCCTAGTCAGTTAATTCTTTGCAGCTTTAAACCTTGTGGCTTGTGGTTCTTCCTCTTTGAGATGTAGGTCTTTGAGGTATTTGCTTCCAACAGACACCATTGTTATCAAAACTAAGAATTGGATCCAAGGTATAGCTTCTTCAA